ACAAAATTTACAACGAACACGCTTATGACAAACTGATAGATATAAGTACAGTGAGTGAGTTGGGTTTTACGCCGCTTTTAGCAATATTCCAGCAATAACACGACGGGGGACACCAGAAATGAGCTTCACACATTGTATCCAATGGAAAATCGAACCCGGGTCTTCGGCGCTAACGCTTTCAGCACTAGGCTACCCAACCGCTCCTCTTGCTTTGAACTACGGATATAACGAACTGTGTTTAGTGGTCCTTTGAGTTCGTTATAACCGTGGGTTACTGTACTAATGATTCAGTCACGGTGTCAGTTCGTGTGCGGTGCAGTCTGTGTGACCTGGTCATGAAACTGTAAACATATATATAGGTCAGTCTGTTCTAAGGATTGGGTTACATCTAATCGCACATGTCTGAGGGCTATTGGCCATATAGGTGTATATTTCATCATCGTGCAGCTAAACATGTCGTGTCGGTATATTGCAACACTGGTGTTGGTATTTCTAGCGCTGGGGCAACCCGTGAAGATCCGGGTTAGAATGTATCTTCAGTAATCCATGCTTGTCGTAAGAGGCGACTAGCGGGATCGGGTGGTAAATAGAGAATACTACACGAGGTCTCATTACATACGAATTATACGAAACGAGTGTCCTTCCTATGGTATAACATAGGAAGGTCACGAGGTCGTATAACGTAAGGAAGGTCACGAGGTGGTTTTATTACCCACGTCTTACATGCATTAAATTGACAAAATAGCGTATTTCTGTTAATATTTTGGTTTCAAACCGAAACCGGTTTCATAAAGAGGTTGCGGAAGAGTTTTGTACTGTAGTACAATATTTGCATGACGTCACACTGTAATGACGTCACTGCCCTGGTAACCGACGTCACGATTCATGTCAGTTGTCATCGCCTCGTACAGCCCCCTACATTAAACTACCCCGTAGCACCCCGTTTCTTGGTTTGCAGTTGCTTCATTCGGCTAACAGCACTGGTGGAAACATTGCGTTTACGTTTTTCGACGGATATAATGTCTCAGTTCGACTCACAATTAAACAGCGACACGGCAACGTTCGCAATGTTTACATTCCCACAATGCATTTAAGTTGTAGAATGAATGGATTCACGTGTTTGTTATGAATGAAAAAATAGTTACGTCAGAATATGACCTAATTCAGAGGTCATCGGTTATCCAATCAAATCGTTAGAATCTCAGGTCAAGTCGTTACGACACAGGTCAACGTGATACGACACTCGTGTGACGTACGAGATTAGTATGCAACTACCCATACGTTGACCACGTGGGTAATAAAGCTATTTATCATCCAAAACTGTGTTCGACAGGAGATATCGCTTGTGTGAGATCAAACGATATCTCCTTGGAGATATCGTTTTGACAGTAGATTTTGTACAATGCCCTGACAATGCTATGACGTCATGTACTTGATGACGTCACAATGCTATGACATCGCTGCACTGCAAGTGTAATGGCAGTACCATGTTCAGAGATGTACATTTTTCATTGAAAATTAATGAAGAGTGATTTTGGATGATTAATAGAATCTCACCCTCGTGTCTTCTGATATCAAATATATCAACACTCGTTGATAAAGTACAAATATCCTCGGCAAGCCTCGGATATTTGTAACTTTATCAACTCGTGTTGATATAATTGATATCAGAAGACACTTGGGTGAGATTCTCTATATAGCTGAAATATTGATGAGTGCGGTGTTAAACAACAAACCAACCAACCAATCTAGCGCTGGTATCTTTGGATGTTTGTCTCGAGTATTTACACAGTGGACTCACTCTAAACCGACACCCCTCTAATCCGACATCCCTCTAAACCGACATTTTTCACCGGTCCCGAGCGATGTCGGTTTAGAGGGAGCCCAGTGCATATCAAAGAAAAACTGCGTATATCTGGTCCAAGTGAAGATACAGCTTACTTTGGTCTTCAGCAACCCATGCGGAGTGCGGGTGATTGAGTTTATTTTTTCGACGCTTTTAACAATATTCCAGCAATATTGCGGCAGGGGACACCAGAAATGAGCTTCACACATTGTACCCATGTGGAGAATCGAACCCGGATCTTTTGCGTGGCGAGCGAATGCTTTAATGACTAGATCTGTACTTTCTTTCGTGCGTCAGTTTATTCAAACCTCCACGAGCCCATTGCAACGTCCGGAGGGAATACATAAAGGTCTGAGGTATGTTCTTTTATTAAAAAGGAACGAATCATTCCACACTGGACGTATTGAAACAAATAGTTTCCCCGCCCCTTCGTTACTCGTGCAGTGAGTAGGTTGGGTTTTACGACGCTTTTAGCAATATTCCAGCAACATCACGGCGGGAGACCACAGAAATTGACTTCACACTTTGTACCTCTGTGGGGAATCGAACCCGGGTCTTTGGCGTGACGAGCGATCGCTTTAACCACTAGGCTACCCCACTACTCGATTGGGTGAAGACCAGCATCACTATGGGCGAGTCTGACCAACATGAAAAAACACACAGTGATATAATTATTTTGTTTGTTGTTTCACGACCGGGAGAGGTTGGGTTGAACCGGGAATGGGCTTCATACATTGTACATAAGTGAGGACTACAACCCCGGTCTTTTCGCGTGACAAGGGATCACTTTCAACACGATGCTACCATACCGCCTGTTGTGTGGAAAACGCGCCCCTTGAATTGACGACAGTGTTATTTCTTCTTTTTTTTATGATAATGATAGCTTTCGAATGATAAGTATGTTTACTCATCTCTTTCATAGATCTGAGTGAATAGGTCTGTTACCAATCTTCACCTTGACTCACTACAACGTTCGTTTAATGTAGCTTTCATTACAGGTCCAGCCATATTTCCGCCTCAATTGCCTGCCCAGAGTGCGTAGGTACGGGTTCGATTACCGACGTCGTTAAATGGTGGTACTTATTGGTACCCTGCCATGGTTTCTCAGTTAAATACAGCACTATGTTAAAGTATGTGTTTTACGATCACCTTAGCGCTAAGACTGTCGAAAGTCTATGTTAAGGTATGGTAGTTACGATCACCATAGCGCTACGACTGTCGTAAGTTCATGTTAAGGTATGGTAGTTACGATCACCATAGCGCTACGACTGTCGTAAGTTTATGTTAAGGTATGGGAGTTACGATCACCATAGCGCTACGACTGTCGTAAGTCTATGTTAAGGTATGGGAGTTACGATCACCATAGCGCTACGACTGTCGTAAGTCTATGTTAAGGTATGGGAGTTACGATCACCATAGCGCTACGACTGTCGTAAGTCTATGTTTAAGTATGGGAATTACCATCACCTCAGCGCTACGACTGCAGTAAGCCTATGTTAAGGTATGGGAGTTACGATCACCATAGCGCTACGACTGTCGTAAGTCTATGTTAAGGTATGGGAGTTACGATCACCATAGCGCTACGACTGTCGGAAGTCTATGTTAAGGTATGGGAGTTACGATCACCATAGCGCTACGACTGTCGGAAGTCTATGTTAAGGTATGGGAGTTACGGGTAAGATCGCTTTCTACAACTGGGCCTAGATTTTCGAAGCTGTCTTAACGCTAAGATAGTCGTAAGTGCTATACATTAACGTTAACTTACGACTATCTTAGCGGTAAGAGAGCTTCGAAAATCTAGGCCCTGACCTTGAAACATTGTGAAGAAATTGATGGGTCCTTAGCGGTTGATTACAATGAGTGACACGTCTCTCTCACACACCCAAGAGAATAAATAAAATTAGAAATCCAAATCAAGTCTACAAGCAGCTGGCAAGGCCAGATAACCTCAACTCACCTGATCTTGACATTGTGTCTCCTGACTTTGACATTGAGGTCCAAGAAGAATTCCATATTCTTTGAAGATATACAGTTTTAGATAAGACAACTTCATTTCTGTAGGACCAGCTGTCACTCTTTCAACCACAATTTTTCTTTGACGAGTTTAGAATTGGTTTTCAGCAGCCCATGCTTGCCGTAAGAGGCGACACACTGTGGCTCGCTGACTTGGATGACACATGTCATCGTTCTCGCACTGCGTGCATCGATGTTCATGATGCAATCACTGGATTGTCTGGCTCAGATCATGATCGCCAATAGCCAGAATATTGGTGAATGCAGCGTTTTATAAACAAACTATCGGTTACCTATACGTTAACGTCAGACAACCGAAGATAAGAATTATTAACATACACTTACCTACACGCATTACAATAAGTGAGTGAGTTTAGTTTTACGCCACACTCAGCAATATTCCAGCTATATGGCGGCGGTCTGTAAATAATCGCATCTGGACCAGACAATCCAGTGATCAACACAGAAAGCATGTAAATTGAGCATCGATCTGCGCAATTGGGAACCGATGACTTGTGTCAACCAAGTCAGCGAGCCTGACCACCCGATCCCGTTAGTCGCCTGTTACGACAAGCATGGGTTACTGAAGATCAATATTCTAACCCGGACCTTCACGGGTTACAATAAGTAGAGCCAATGATACAAGTTTATAATGCCATGAAAACGTGGTCCATAATTTTCTCAGCAGGAGCGAGGCATCATATGCAGAATCTATGAAAGATGCTTTATGTACTCAAACTAAGAGACAGTATTGAGTGACTTAGTGAGATGGGTTTTACGCAGCTTTTAGCAATATTCCAGCAATACCACAGCGGGGGACTCTAGAAATGGGCTTCACACATTGTATCAACGTGGGGTATCGAACCCGGGTCTTCGGCGTTACGGGCGGACGCTTTAACCACCAGGCTACCCCACCGCCCCCATGGTTGTAAGATGTCACAAACGAGGTGGTCCAGAGACACATAAAGACTAAACAATGTCTTCAAAGAGACAAAACACATCAGGAATAACACATTTGATTTGCATCATTAAAGATAAAAATCCCCGGTCCTGTTTAAACAACAACAACAACAAAAACACACCGTGTATCTTTTCAAAATCACACATTCATGTTTTTAAAATAACAACCAAAAACGCTTACCTGTTGCGGTCAAATTTCGCGTATTTTTTCCACTCATTCCTGTCGCTCTTATATGCACTCATGAGGCTTTTGACGTAGTCAATATTGACTTTGTCAGACTGAAATATGTCACGAAGCCTTGTAATCAAATCTTCAAAGTTCTCAGGTGGAATCACCTTGTCAGGACAACAGTCCATGTTTTCAACTTGTTGAGTTTCCATGTTATAAAGGCGTCAGCGACGCACACCACTGTTAAACAATCGCGGTATAAACTGTGACGAACTTCACAGCCACGTGTTGACTCCGTGCACGGTGTCTCCCGAATACGCCTAAAGATCACTCCGGGAGCTATTTAGCCTAGGCCAGTCCGAGGCTGGCGCTTTCTGGGACGTGTCAATTCCGTTCGAGCGACATGTTTCAAGGTTATGTTTTCGGAGTGTTTTACAACAAAATCAATTGGTAGTGTTGTATTTTCATGTGTTTGAACGGTTGAACGGGTACTGTTTTGGAAATGTGTTCGTTAAGATTGGAGTTTGTGTTTTTAGGCGTGAATACGTCGGGTTTCACGGCATTACGCTTCAAAAAGCTCTGTCTCGAGAAATAGACTATTAACGTGTGCATGTAAAGGCGTTTATTCATGCGTGAATATTCTGTTGTTGTTGAAAGTGAACCGAAAGTGCAGGACGAGTGCACGCAGTCGTCATCACCGACAAAACAGACAAACACAGCGTGGAAAAACATACAAAACAAACCAGCTACGGAGCAATCTGACCTGGTATGATGCAATTTGGTCGCGTCTGTTTTTTTATTCAGGACACAAAGAGTTATGCCCCTTTCCATATACGGTAACCGTGTCCGACTCGCTCAACATGTCCCTAATTGCAATGGGCAGTGAGTTAGCCTGGTGGGTAAAGCGTTCGCTCGTCACGCCGAAGACCCGGGTTCGATTCCCCACATGGGTACAATGTGTGAAGCCCATTTCTGGTGTTACCCACCGCGATATTGCTGTAAATTTGCTAAAAGCGGCTTCACACATTGTACCCATTTGGAAAATCGAACCCGGGTCTTCGGCGTGAAGAGCAAACACTTTAACCACTCGGCTACCCCACCGCCCCGTGTGTCGCTCAGCTTCGTCGAGGGGGTATGTTTAAGCCAATGGTATAAGGCTGGTGTCGTAAACGAGTATGTTATCAGTTACTTGCACGCTTGCTGACGGGGACTTAAGGTGATATTTAGCCCTGATAAATGATCTATATGCTTATCTGATTTTCTGTTGCTCTGTCAGGGGTTATGTAGTGGCAGTGTATTCGTTTAACGTGTACTAGGGTACCAGCTGTTTTTCGATAAATATTTTAAGTGCATCCAACAGCGCGCATTGGCAGAATTTTGTTCACGTTCAACTCTTCACTGTGAAGGAGGATGAGCGGCTCGGGAGTTCCCTCTACTGCTAATGCGTAGTAGTATTGAGTTCGTTGGATATTCAGCGATCATGTGGTGTTTGATTTTTGTTTCAGACTGGAGTTTTTTCAAAACAAGCATTTTTGTCAGTGAAACCAGGAGGTTTTTTTTAAACAATCACGACCCACGACTCACAAATTCATGTGAGTGAGTGAGTGAGTGAATGAGTGAGCGAGGTTAGTTTTATAGTTAGCAATATTCCAGCTATATGGTGGCGGTCTGTAAATAATCGAGTCTGGACCAGACAATCCAGTGACCAACACACAAAGCATGTACAGTGAAGAGATAATTGTGGGCAAAAGCAATATTTGGGGTAGGAATGTGGCATTTGTAGAATACAAAAAAACCCAAAACAAACCAATTATCGAGCCGTGGAAGCCGTGCCAAATAACACTTATCAGAGGGGTACACAAAGTCCGCAGTCTAGACTACCAGCTGTCCGACTTCCATTTTGTGGAAGCCGCGGTGGCTGAGCGGTCTAGGCGTCTGACTTTGTGTGCTGGCGATTAGGTGCCTGACTCTGAGGGTGTGGGTTCGAATCCCGGATGGGACTCAACCCAAAAAGTACTAGAATCTGTACTTTACTAAGAAAGTGTAATCCCAAATATAACATACGTTACATTAAACTAATTATCGCAGAAATTAATGAGGTTTAAGACAAAAATGATAAAAGCAATACGTCCTACAAAAAACAAAATAACTGATACTGATACTGACAAATCCCCCACCCTGCCCCTTCAACACCCCCTTCAACACCCTTACCACACATCCCAAATCCCCCGAAGGTCTGTTTAATCATGCCGGCAAGTTAGGGGCGTTAGAAGAATAAAGGGCTTTCTCAATTTCAAAGCCATGGATTACGTGTCACAGGTGTAATTACTGCCTTATGTAACTACATCCTACTCTCATTATCATTAGCGTCTATAACTTACAGGAAATTATGTTTGAAGTGTACGCCAAAATATAGTGTCGAAAGAAATACTGACTATACTGACCCGCCCTCCCCCACTCCTATACCCTCCACCTCAAACCCCGCCCCGACCCCATCCCCCTCCTAACCACCAGTCTCCACCCTCAAGATCTTTTCTAATCAATCAATCAATCTAATCAATCAATCAATCAACATTACAATCCGTTTGATTTCACAAACACAAACACAAAATCTCATAAATACAGCATTTTTGGACACCCGAATAAAACAGTTGTTTAACAAACGATCATTATTTTGTTGTCACTTTTCGCTATTTCTTACGAGGGGGGGCCACTTGCTGGTAGAACAGCCATGTGTGCGAGTGGTTATGGCCCGGGAAAGCGAAATCTGGTCTAAACCTCCTCAATTTAGGTTTCGCTTTCGCGGGAACGGTCAAGCTAAAGTTAACACTGAATTTCGCGTTCCCGGGACTCTCAATACACAAGAAAAACAAAGAAGTGTGAGTCGTCGTCTGATACCGTAGTCGTGGTAGAAATTTAATAAATAAATAACAATAGACAGACTGTTCACCGATAAGTCACATGGATGGATCATGTGGAGGTGGAATTGAAAATATCGTGCATAGACAACTTACATCGTTAAGCATTCATTGACGTTATTTACGTTACCGCAATGTAATTTACGTTACTTATATATATCGGGCGATAACAACCTAAAACTACTTTCACTTGTCAAAGTTTGATTCACATTTGATATTTCGGCAATACCAGACAGCAAAACACAAAGATTTCGGGAAACTTTCCAAATTTCCAAATATGGCGGTAACGTAAATTATCGTAACGTAAATTAGTTCTGGTAATGAATAATGTTATGGCAAGATGAATAAATGCAGAATGCTTGGTTGGGGCACATGTATAACAGATCGCCGGGCCCCAAATGTACAGTGATGAAGACTATTACTGGGATGCTAGATTTTGAGTTATGTTTTTAGATATCGAGAATAGATGAACAGGCCAATCAAGAAAAATTATCTTGTGGGTCTGTGCGATGATTTACCACAAGAAAAGATGGAAACAAACACAACGTAACGTAAATTACTCTGACTCTACCGACAGAATGTAAACGTGGGTTTGGGGTTTCGGTTGGTGAACCATTGACATGCTACCATGGGCGAATTAACCCATATGTATGTTGGTTCTTTCATGACACTAAATATAACAAAACTTCCGTTGGATAAAATTTTGCAGCAAACTTAAATGCAAAGAATACGCACTACCGACATAGCAAACATGCCACCATAGAACCAAATGCTTGCTTCTGACGCAGTCTTAATGAAGGTTGATACTTATTGTCAATTTAGTGTTATTTAGAATACCTGCTCAGATACACCTAGATTAAATATCAAAATTTAAAAGCACCGACAGCCAAAATGTCGGCGACAGCAATTGTCCCAGTTAACTGAGAATTAGTGAGATCTGCTCGAACAACCGTCTTTGCACGATACTTCTTTTCTCGGAGGGTTTTCCTACACCGATGCTTAAACTTGTCATAGATCAAGTGCTGAAACTTGAAACAGCTGAAACTTCATCTCAGCTAAGAGGCTAACAGATCGAGTATTGGGGTCGCGCGCTAATCTGAAGTTCGGTAATCCGATGTTTTCATAGCAATTCGCTTTCACGGCACTTCTAGCACAACTTTGGTTTTCGCTTTACCGGGAATAGGGAATATTGAAATTTCTCTTTCCCGGGCCTACACCGTGCGAGTTCCACATGTGAAATTGAAATTTCCCCACACACGCTTGTTGATTACCTGGCTGTTTCACAAGCATTTCCACAGTGACAAGAAGCAGAATCTTTCATGTTGAAACGATACAGATAATAATTTAGTTGACTAGTCATACATCTCAACTTTGTGTGTATATTAAATTTCTTCTTTGATTGGCATTCTAGAAGTAGGGTAGATGAAGAATGAGGATTATTTTTATGGATATACAGCTTCTTTATTCTATATAGGCGACGTTTCGACATAGACTCTAATGTCGTTGTCAAGCAAGTCCCCAACGTCGCTTTAACTTCAACTGATTTGTGACCTGGGCTCAAGGCTGAAGACCACACACCACCACCTGAGATTGTTCATCAAAATCAACATAAGTATGGAAAACAGATCACGCGTTTTTGTGATGTAAATGAAGACAAACCTTTTAACGCTGTCACTAAAACAACAAGCCTCTGTACATTACTGATGTTCTACATGAATCGAAGACAACAGATGACTGCACATGTGGTTTCAAAGAAAACTGGAATGATCCAATGCGCATGAAAAGAAATAACGAAACTGTATCATGTTAAAATAAAAAACCCAAACTTTTTTAGGTACGTGCACTTCTATCGTGTAAGCCGACCTCGACACAGAGGTGAGGTGAGGTGAAATTGGGTTTAACGTCGTGCTTGAGAATATTTCGCCCATATGACGACGTGCATGTATGTGTATGTGTGGCTGCTTGTACTAGCCCAGACTGAAGCTGGTTTTATAGTGCTAGCCCACTGAGATACCATAGCGCAGTGAAGCATGAATATCCCACTCAGACACATTATACTGACTCCGAGCCGACCAGTCCTTGTTGTACCCATTTATGCCGAGCGCCAGGCAGGGACCAACAAGTACCATATTTTAACGTCTTTTGGTATGACGCGGTCGGGGATCAAACCCGCGACCTTCCGCTCTCCGTGCGGACGCTCTAACCACTACACCACGGAGGCGGTCTCTCGACACAGAGGGGCATGCCAGAACGCAGACTTCCCCAAACCCCACCTACCCCTACCAAATCCCCCACCCCCACCCCACTCGTATACTTTTATACAGACCTTCGACCTGCTACAACACATGCTATGCCATTTTTGCAATGATTGGCATATAAACGCAACTTTTGTTGTGAATTATTAAGCTCTGAGATGCAATTATATATCATCTAAGTA